GCGCCGACGCACCCAAACCAGGACTAAGCCACTCAAACTGAACACTTTAAATCAGCTCAGCCTTTTAACGACCCCCCAAAGCCTGTGAGTATAAAGTAGGAAAACAGGGTGGAGATGGAAGAAAAGGCTGAAACTCTGGCTTTTCGGTCAAATGCAAGGCTGCCGCTCACTTCAGCGATACCAGAGACTGAACCGGTACGCCTACCTGTCCAAATCCGATAGTAGTCTACTTGTTGGGCAACATGTTGGCATAAAACACATTTTAAACAGAAATTATTAAGAGCAAAAGTAGCTGTACTTTTCATTCTGCGTAACTGTTGGAAATTTCTAAACTTTGCTACCATTTCAGAAGAAAATTTGAAGGAAGCAGAACATAGGCACGTCCTGACCACCCACCCATCTCTCTGTACCAACCTCCTTCCTAATAACGTTTGAACTTGCTGGCCAACTTGAAGCACATTTGCTACAAGCAGAGATTTCGGAAGGATGTGCCTGCAGGACTGGTAAAACTCAGTGGGTAATTAGAAGAAAGATCCACCAACACTGAGCATCTCCCTCACCCTTTTGGTTCGGCCAGCCAGGCAACCAGTCGCCAGATGCGTAAGCCAAAGACAGCCACAGTACAGGCTGTCGCTCGCACGGCAAATGCTGCGGGAGGGAGCTCAGGACTGCAGGAAAATTGTGGAGACGACTATGGGAAGGAGTCACGGGAACGTGATAGAGAATGCTGCTGTGATAGCGTATGCGGAAGACAAATCCCTGGAAAAATAAGATTCAACAATTTCACAGGGATTGTTTTCTTTCTTTCTGGATTTTGACAGTTCAGGGATGCTCGCAGGGGGGTTGGATGTGAAAACATAATAAACCTGGGACCTGCTGAGTTAACTCTCTCTATAGAGAAGGAGAAGCAATATCACCAAATTTCCCATGAGAATCTGCAGTTCCTCTAGGAGTGATCCATTTCTTTCTCCTTCAGGCACATCAGTTCCTCCAGGAGAGATGCATTTCTGGGTTTTTTCAGGCACTTCAAAGCACTGGAAGTTGCATCCATAGAAGCCAGCCATGTATCAGAGCTGGTCAGCCAGCTCCTTGCGTTCCTGTAGTGCCTCCTGTTGAGCATCCTCAAAGTGCTTTACAGAGCCTGACAGATAAAGGCACACATGGCAAGAAGACATCTATTGCTGTTTGATCTATGGTATGCACAGGGTAAAACAGAGCACAGAGAGTTAATTATCCTCCTAGAATTCCAAGTGAAACCTGAGGCATGAAAGCAGAACCTGTGCCTCCTGGCCACTCCGCCTTCACGCTTAACCCAGTCATCCTCACTCTTTGCTTGAACAGCACAAACGTTAGAGCGCTAGTTATTGCTAAAGTAAAAAAAAAAAAGAAAAGTCACCCATTTGCAAAGCAAACCGACGACAAACTGGCTGGTACATCACACACCTCCTTTTCCCCATGCTAGATTTCCTCCTTTCCACCACCGGCACTTTTCTCTTTTGAAACACACCATTAAAGCTAAATACAACCAAACCAGCTCTCCTCGTAATGATGCAACCGCCCTGTAATACACGAGCGTACACTCAACGCGAGCACAGGAAAATACAGCCCTGGTTTCAGGTGCTAATATTACTGCGGTCAATAGTTTTATTGCCTAATTGCATTAGCTGTGTCTTTGCTTTTCAACAGGCTGGGGGGGGCACTGGGTTTCAATAGGCATGCAGCTGGCCAAATTTCTGATCCTAAAATTCAGGGCAAGGCATTTCAAACCGCAGGAGGAAGCGAACTATAAATATTGCGTACTCAGCCTGCATGCAGGGGGCCAAAAAGGGGCTGACAGAGCTTGACATAATCTTCATAAAAGAGAGAGAGGCAGGAGGTGCCTTTCCATGACCTCTTATGGGAGGTGGGTGGGCATCTTGTGATCACACTTCACTGCAGGGAGAACAAAGCACTGCAACAGTTTTTCATGGAATTCTGGCCAAGCCATTTAATATTAGACATCTGCTCATTCTATCCTTGTGTAGATCTCTGTGAAACACAGCCAAAATTGCTACTAAATCATACAATGGGAACCAGGCAAAGCTGTGCCAGGTTGCCTGACATCAAGCGAGCAACAGCGAGTTTGGCAATTACACCGTCCTTACGTAAAAACTACTTTACGTCCCAAGTTTGCTGCAGCAAAAAGCCATAAAATATTTCCTTGGTTATCGACCAAATTCTGACCTCAGATACAGAAATGTAAATCCAAGGTGAGTCAACTGCGCTCAGAGGAGCCACTTCACATCAAACCTGCTGAAGGGAGAGCAGAGTCTGGCTCCCGTGTGTCTAGGGAGCAGGCATCTGCCTTCACGGCCAGGCATAAAAAACCAAAGGTGATACAAAGATGGGGAGAAGCAGTCAGGTTTGAAAGAAATACAGAGTCTCAGACAGTTTGTAAAACAAGGTTTATAAACTCATGGCAACAAAAAGCAAAAATACGCCATATCAGGGGTTTTTAAGACTTGCAAATCTGTTGTTAAAGATCTCTTCGGTCTATCTACTGCCTTATGCAATAGAAAGAGAAACGTAAAAAGAAGTTATTCTGTAATTTTACATGAAAAAATACAGTAGAGCTATCAAGATTAATGAGCCCTGTCCTCCCCTACTTCTGCCTCTCACTCCAAAAAACCAGGAACGGGAAGGCAACATAAACCGTTGTCGATTAGACCAAGGACAGACTGAACAGCCGCACTACTTCCATGGAAATAAAATGGCAAAACGTTCTTGCTCCTCCTTTGAATGAGGACAATGATAAAGAAGAAAATGTTTACTCACCTATGAAGGTCTTCGGCATTTATTTACCTACCGCCATTGAGCTCTGGAGCGTCCTTACCATTACAGCCTGCATAGTAGGGCAGAACAACTTTTCTTTATTGTAATTGAGGAAATCCCGACAGCCAGAACTAACCGAGACTGCCCAAGATGACAAGTCTCTTGGAAAACAAAGCATCACCTCAGCATTTTCTAAATTAAAATTAGCACTCTCACCGAACATCCTTGCATTTACTTCCCCTCTTCTGTTGGTATTAAAGCAATACGAATTGGGAAAATATATCCTGAAGTGTTCACTCCACAATAATTACTGAAGACAAATTGTAGCCTTCGGCAGTTTTTCCTGGGATGTATTTAATAGTAGCTATTATTTTGGTTAGTTATTTTAGGGTATCCTTCACTTCTCTAACCTCCACAATTTTCTTTATTATTGTAAGAAAATACAAACAGGAACTGTCACAGCAATGCTAATCCTGTGCGAGAAACTGGGTCCCGTAAGTGAGTAGAAGGGAAGTTACTGGGAGAACCTCGACGACTGATATAACCCTGTAGCTGTGAGGATGCAAGGGTGAGGAAAGCGTGCTTTTTATGGAAACATTTAACACAACAACAGGAATACAAATCAAGCTCCATTAATTTAGCTTTAAATTTTAATGAATCAGGATGTGTAATTTATATAAAGAAGGATTTGCTTAATAAAATATTAATATTTTTGCTAAAAGAACTGCAAATTGCAAGTTAATACAGTTTTCCTTAAATAGAACATCGAAAGTTGAAAAACACTGAAATAGCATACGGCAAATCAAAACGAGCCAGAATTCAAGAAGAGCAAAATATCGTGGTCCGTCTCAAAGACTGGACCCTCGGTAATCCGCATTAATTGCTTCATTTAACAACAGAGAAGGCAACATTAAAAATAAAAAGAGAAAGGGTCCTGCATTTAGTTACACTCTGAACGACGGTGTTTTGATCTACTTGGGTCGCCCATGGCTTGCATCCCAGCTGAAGAGCTGCGTGGGTGGACCGGCAGCTCGGATCTCCCCGCAATTAACGGGTCTCAGCCCCCAAGCGCAGCAAACGTTACGCCGGGTCTTCCCGCCGAGACCCGAGGCACAAGCCAGTCGCTGTGAGCACAGGCTGCGTGCCAGCTATGTCCTGAGCGCCCTCGAGCGCGTGCGGGGACGGGGCGACGCTCTCACAGCCTGCCCTGTCACCCCACGGCTTTCAAAGCACACCCAGCAGCAGAGGCAGGGCAGGAGCCATAACACAGCAAGGGAGGACGATGCCAGGAGAGGGAGCTGGTATAACCTCGTGTGGGAGCTTTGACTGAGAGAGGAAAACCCTTTTGTAGCAACTGGCATTTCACTTCAGGAACAGCTTGGTTTTGTTCAGGCGGTGTTGCCGAAGAACAGTCAGACTGAACTGAAAACCCTGTCTTTGTGCTTTACTAACGATCTACAGGGAGTCAGATAACTACAACGTTAAGCCAGCACTATTTCTCCATGTATTTGAGGCTCAAGCAACTTGCACAAAGTCAAGCAGGAGGCTTGAACCCAGGTCTCCAGAGACCTGTCACAGACCATCCTTGTACCTATGAGGCTGACACAAGAGTCTTCAGCTTTCTCAGCCTCCAGTCGTGTTTTCTTCATCTGGGAAACATCAAAGTATCTCGGGGGTCTTTGATCACCTGCTCTTACATACTTGGTTTTCTTCAGGCGTCATTACAAAAAGGCCGTCTGATTCATATGGATATCTTTGCTATCTGCTTAAAAGTGACACCAGCAAAGTGAGTCACTCAAAAAACATTTAGTTTCAGCTTTCCTAAGAGTAGAAAAACTGAAGAATGTAACTAGAAAAACTGGAAAGCATCTGCAAATGAAAGCCCATTGGTTTCAAACTAAACCGCATTACTGCTTCATTTTCCAAGTTGCCAGCTAGGGACTTCAAACATGCAAAAGTAATAAAATTTGCATGATCACCTAATGTCTCTATTAGTCTGAGGAGCTTTGGTACTGAGGGTACAGAGAAAAGGTTGCAGGACAGAATAAGAGAGATAACATAAAAAAAAAATGCATTATGTAGCTGTGAAGAAATCGTAAGGATCCCTATTAATTCTTGCAGGATGAAAAAAATGTTTAGTGACTGTACCCGAGAAAAAAAAATGTAAGCAAAGAAAAAAATGGACTCACGTTGAGCTGGAGGTCATCTGTCCACTGGCCGATGAGGCGGTAGCCCGGGGTGCTGGTGTTGGTGGTGTGGTACTGGAAGATGTCATAGCGCCCTGGGGCATCACCGTTTTTGTTGAACATCACTGGAGTGCCAGCACTGCCTGGGGGAAGAAAACAAGACAAAATCCAACGAAACAACCAACAAAAGCCAGATCTTTACAGCACCTATTTTATTTAGTCACAGTTGAGAGCTTTTGGACTAGCAATGCATTTCAGGCAAAGGTCATCTATCACCCCAGCTATCTAAAACGGATGCTTCAGAACACAGTGGCATAATCCGAGACCTCTTCCCGAGATTAATTATCACTGCCAAAACCTACTGACTAAAAATAAAGCGAAGAAAAACTGGATCAGCCTTACTTCACTCTAGCGTTGCACAAAGCAAGAAATATCAGAAGGCTTTTCTTCCTGCCCTCCAGCCTCCCTCCCATCTCTCTTTCCTCAGGGAGTTCTTTAGTGAAAATCACTCCTGTGAATGGAGCCTCTAAATGATTTTTTTTCCCCCAGAAAATGTTCCATATGCTTCTGAGAGATACTGCTGTCAGAAGTCAGCCCAGGTCTAGTGAATCTTGACTAGCATCCAGAAATAGCTTCCTCCTCCACAATATGTTCTTATTCCTGTAATCAGCATGCAGTTGGGATGGAAAAGAACAGGCTAAGCTCTAGGAAGACTGTTCCTTGTGTACTCCCATATGTAGGCTCTGTGACACTGCCACAGGCTGAAAAGTATCTCAGTCAGGAACAGTTCAGAATGAGGATCCTGAATTTATTTTATTTGCCATATACTAAGGTGACTGATACGGGTGAAGAAGTGCAGGGCAAGCAGCAAGGCAGGGATACTCCCACAACCCTTCCTTTGCACTGCTGGCAGCCTGGAGGTGCCCCGATACCCGAGCGATGGGACAGGCGACTCCTGATCCTCAGGCAAGTTCTCACCAGAACATCTGCATTGCAATTACCACGGCATTAGATGAGAACCCCTTCTCAGATGAGAATTCAAAGCAGCGTTGCATTTCCTCAGATCTCTAGGTGAAAACTTCAAGGGTGACATTTATTTCAAGACATATTAAAATAGGTTTCAGTAGGGTAGAGTAATATTGTGTCAAGATTGAAGATTATGACAATTCTCCAGCATATCTATATTCAAAGCTTCCTCCTCCTGCGTAACTTTTTTTCCCCTAAAGCAATGAAAAAATCTCTCCTGTCGTAGCATTGAACTTTAAGATTACAGTTTTCTCCATGATTCCCATTCTTCATTGAATTCCAGTGAGTGAAAAAAGATTTGAAGGAGTGAATTAGCATAGTTTCCATTCTAGCCCTGGATAATTGTTTCCGGTCTATCCTACAATCCCCTGAGATCAGATGCAGATTCAGTTCAAAGGCTGATACAGAAAATCTTATAGAATCATCGAATTGTTTAGGTTGGAAAAGACCCTTAAGATCATCAAGTCCAACTGTTAACCCAGCACTGCCAAGTCCACCACTAAACCCTGTCCCTAAGCACCACATCTACACGTCTTTTAAATACCCGCAGGGACGGGGACTCGACCCTTTCCCTGGGCAGCCCATTCCAGTGCTTGACAGCCCTTTGGGGAAGGAATTTTTCCTAATATCCAGTGATGGAAAGTGGCTTGGTGATCACTTCTGCCTGCTCCCTCAGTACCCTTGGGTGGAAACCATCTGGCCCCATTGACCTGTGTGTGTCTGAGTGGTGACCTGCTAAGCATTTCCCCTTGGATTATGGGGGCTTTATTCTGCTCTGCATCGCTGTCTTCCAGCTCAGGGGGTTGGGTACCCCAAGAAAAACTGGTCTATTTTCTTCTCCCTGCAAAAACTCACAACATCCCTGTAGCCCTCCCGAGTGGCCTGCCCCTTCTTCCAAAGGGCATAAACTCTCCTTTTTTTCCTTAGTTCCAGCCAAAGCTCTCTGTTCAGCCAGGCTGGTCTTCTTCCTTGCCAGCTCATCTTTCGGGACATGGGGACAGCCTGCTCCTGTGCCTTGAAGATTTCCTTCTTGAAGAATGCCCAGCCTTCCTGGACTCCTTTGCCCTTCGGGACTGCCTCCCAAGGGACTCTGTCAACCAGTCTTCTGGAGGGCAGACTTTGGCCTGTTTAGAAGTCCAAGGTGGCAGTTCTGTTGAACCCCCTGCTTAATTCTCCAACCTGAAAAATGACAACAGATAATAATCTGAGGGCCGTACCAGGCTAGGAAGTTTTGTCTTCACATCTTTAGCCAGGGAGGCAGCAGACTTCCCTGAGAAGTGGGTCTGGTCTGCATGTTGGGCCTTCTGTTCCCTTCAGAAGGGTGTCTCCTATGACAATGACCTGTCTTTTTTTTTTCTTTATGGAAGCATAAAGAAAAATCAAGAAATATTTAATTAAGGTAGCCAGAATACGTTTACAGTGAAAACAAAGCGACTAAGAAGAAATATCTGTAGTTCCTAGGCTCCTTTGAAAAGTCAGCACAAATAGTAAATGGGATTTATCTAATCACAACTCTTAAAAGGCTGTATCTTATTAGTTAAGCTTGGTTTTGTCAGAGCTGACAAAAAAGTACAATTCAAAGGGTAGGAGTTCAAGTGAGGCTCCCAAAATGCAACACAGACATTTGTGGATTCCCCACATCCTGGCAAAACCCCAGCATGGGCATGAAGAAGTGTCCATGTCTGCATGTCAGGAGGCAGACTGAAGGCAGACACACCATCATCACGGCCAAAGTCAAGAGTGCTGAGGCAAACTCTGCTGCCTCTAAGTCTTCTGTAGGCTGAGGGCAAGTGGCTGAGAGCATGTCTATGGTCACCTTCATGGGCCATCAGGAACATTGCCCAGAACCCTGCTGGCTAAGCCATGACCACCCCACCGGGGTGCATGGGGTAGAGCCAAACCTCTCCATCCCCTGGCTGGGCATCCAGAGCAATTTACCTGCAGGTGGTGCTGGCAGTGGAAAACAGGGTCAATAAGCAGAAGGCCAAGGTGAATGATAGGTGCTGTTATGGACCTAAGAGGTCTTAAAGCGAGAACGTATCAGGAACTATCACTCGGAAATGCACTGTTTCTGTGTTTCACAGTAGCAAGAAAATGTTTTGTAGGTTACTGCTAATCATTGCTTTGCAGAGCTGTGTGCAGACAGCTTTTAAACACTGACATTTAAATTAATCCTTAAGATTGTTTGCTGGGTCACCTCCAGAGGCCCCTAAAGGCACAGTTCCTTGGGACATCGACCTCGTGCATGAATATGGATACTTGATAGTCAGTAGTAAACACTCGTTGCTATTTTCAGGAACATTGCCATTTATGCATTAAAATTATACAGAAAAAAGCTGTGAAAAGTCTGGGACCTGTAGGGAAGACTAATATCTGCAGGAACGCAAAGAACTGATAATCTTGGGTCATAAGTCAAGCAGGAGCGTGCCGCTTCCTGACTTTGAAGTTGGAGTAATTGGACTCCTAGCCAAGGATCTGCTTAGTAAGTGCAAGCCGCCTTTAACCTCTGTGTGGGCTCTGGTGCATGTTTTGGTGCTCTTTTTGTACCATCTGTCTGTAGGGACCCGTCAGTCCTGTTTTAAATTGCTGCAGCATTTCAGTCTCCATTTGCAAGTCAAGTTCCCCTGCACACTTATGAAAATAACGAAAAGTAATGTAGGAAAACCTCATCACAGAAAAGAAACAGTACTTTCAAAAATGATCCTATTTGCTGTTTGACTTCTCGATCTTCTAATTATTAAAAGACATGGTTCTTTAGTTGGTTTTTGATAATTTAGGATTGATTTTCCTTCTATTACGATTTATAAGAATTCTGCTCAGCCCCAACAAGCACTTCAGAAGCTGAGTATTAGCCTCTAGGCTGCAGCTTCTTGCTCATTCGGAGGCCATGACACCTTCAGTTCCCAAGAAAAGCATCTGCCTTCTCACTACACAGGCACAGAGCACAACACCTCTCACCTCCAGGATGCATTAAAAAAGACATGATCTGGTTGAATTTGTACGATTTCAATCTCTTAATCACCACAAGATGAGAAATGAATGAATAGGAGAAGCACCGGGCGCTAGGCAGGTGTACCTGGCCAAGGTGTTTATTATTCGGTTCACGTTTCCTGCAGTTTGAGGACCTGACGGGCTCATAGGAACAGAATCTTTAGCTTTTTCACTGGCAAAAATACAACCACTTTGCACTTTGAGATTTTCAGAATCTGACTGCATGAACACTTGTGGGTTTAAGTTTTCCATATTCGGGGCCTTTGTGTTCTCAAGGTAGCATGATGATATGAAAATTCATACTGAGCTCCTAGTACAAATCCACTCTCTTTCCATTAGAGCGTTGCTTGAGCTCTTTCTGTATGAATGTCATTACCTTTGCAAGGAAGAAAAGACTCCAAAAGCAGGCACAGACAGCATGACTTCAACTGCACAGTGACAAGGAGATCTATTACATGCAAAGAGGTTCTCAAGCTTATGGGCTCAGGATGCTTGAAATGGGCCACAATTTTTCTCTCTGGCACACGGTTTGGGCAAAGCACTCCCACTGCTCTGCCTTCTGTTTTTACTATAAATTTAGGTAGAAGACTGGGAGAACAGGATTTTAAGCATAGAGTCAATATTGCTTCCCAAGACTTAACCTTCACAAGATGGAGTTGCACGGCTGCGCTGGTGACTTAGGAAAGGGCAGGTTAAGACCAAGGCTAAACCCAAGACATCTGACACAAGCCCAGCAGTGCACTGCTCTGTGCCTGTCCTCCCCACCACGGAGGAACATGTACACACCAGCACCCACGTCCTGGGGGCTCCCAGGCTTTATCAACAGGAATACACCACGCAAACCAGCCAAAGCCTCTCTCATTGCTTCTTCCATTCCCTCATCCCTCTGATTTTTCAGGCTGGCCATCCAGTTATATAATGGTGGTTTATCCTGTACCAGTGGGAAGACTGAACCAATCCACAGGGACTGTGGGAATTTATTTTTATATAATACTGAGAAGAAACTGGCTTCAGAGCATCTTTCCAGAGCTCGAGGAATGAGCCCCAGAAAGGTGGCAGCTGAACACGGAGCCTGGGCATGCAAACACATGTGCCGTTATGCACTACGCATATTACATGAAAAAGCTAAACTCTGCCCCTGGAAAATGGACCTGAAAAGGAATCGGTTCTTCTCCCATGGTAAATGCCTACGTCTAGATAGCCAAGAGAAATTAAAAAGGTTTAAAGCTCTCTCAGTTTTGTCACCGTTCTCCTTCCCATGCTAAAAAGCAAACCGCTACCTCAGTCCCTGCGCTGGACATGAGTTCCATGTATGCAAGCAAAGAAAAACCCCATAAGGCAATTTAAATCAATCACAAATGTCACCTTTGACAAGCCTGGCCAAGGAAACACAAGTAAGGGAACTGAAGTTGGTGTGCAAACCAGTGCTTGGAGCTGGATGGTAGGCAACGTTAGCTGGACACCCAATTTCTCATAAACCATTTCTCAGCTCTATTAAAATGATTAGATGACTGTTCACCATCTTTATACGCAAGAACCGTCCGGATATGACCATGTATGAGCTGCTTTCCAGTGCTAAAACGGCCCAAGTGCAATACTGTATGTGAATGCTGTACTCCTCCTGCAGGAGCTTTGTCCTTCATAACCAACCTTCCAAAAGGAGCAAAGTAGAACTCTCCAGACCTCCTCAGCTCATTCATCTCAAAATTTGCTCCTGGCTGTTGTTAACACCACTTCAAGGAAAGAAATTAAAAGCTCCTCACATTCACTTTGCTGTTTATAAGATGATTTATACAGGAAAGAAAAATACCCTCAGCACAAATGTCCGAGCTTGACCATGAAATACACTGAAACCTGTTGGTAAAGATAACTATTCTGGGATATAAAAGTTCAAATCCCATCAAAAATAACAGGTACATGTTTGAATATGAGTCTCACATCTGACTGAAAAGCCCTGTTTTGTTCAGCTTATTAATAAAAATGTTTGTCAGTAGATCACAGTAGGGAAGGCCTCCCCGGGCTGCCCAACGAGAACGTGGAGCTTCAGCACACCCCTCTTCCCGGGCAGCGACAGCCCAGGCTGCCTCCCACACTTCAAATGGATATTTTTTCAGTACTTCCCTAAATCTGTTCTAAATACGGATTTGGAGGCCTGTTGGCTCCTGGTTAGATCTCAGATGTCCATCTCGTACACAACTAGGGCAAGAACAGCAAGACCTCCTGGTAGACCTCCCATCAGCAAGGTCTATGAAGGGGAAATACCATTGGGTTGCTGTAACGTTACCTGCTGGAAGTGATCTGCTCTGGTGCTTCTGGGCTGGTTGCAGGTAAATGTTTGTTAATGAAACTAATAAAATTAGAGTAAAACACATCAAGGCAAGGAAATTTTGCTGATATTCATACACTGCAATGCAGAGAAAAATACACAAGTGATAAGCAGACAAGGAGATAAAATCCTCCCATCCACATTCTCGGGATGTTCCTCTGAAGTCTCACTAGAGGAATGAAGGTTGGAGCAACTACTCTGTCTAAACCACCTAGTTCTGGCTCTGCCAGCCGTTAGCCATCCTCTCCCTTCTCTTGAGCATGCAGCTGAGCTGGGCTCAGGGTACCGGAATTTCATCCAGTTGGTTTCGCTCAGCACAGGAAACAATATAAATAAAGAGGAAAAATGATGTGTTATGCTAACCAACTTCTGGGGTTTCAACAGGCATATTTGGTTGGAGATAAGCTCAGGCTTTTACCCAGCTATTTCTCCCATAGGAAATCAGTATTCTGGAAGGTATCCTAAAACAGCAGCAGCGATTTCTGTCTTTGGACAGTAGTAGCCTATTTGCCTTGGCTAAAACACGATGTTTTCCAATAGATACTGAATAAACATGGTCTTCTGCCACAAACTCTAGCAAAAAAGTCTTGATCTGCACTGAATGAAAGAAATATATAAAGCGAAATTAAAGGGCAAAAAAGCCACAGGAGTTAATACGCTCCTGAAGCGGCAGTCTCGGCTCACCGTTGAAGTTAACGCTGCGTATGTACTTGAGCAGCTTTTTGCCTCCCGCGTGCTCCATCTCGGGGCAGACCCCCGGGTAGTCGGCACAGAGGTCCTTGTTCATGTGGTGGAGCGCGTGCGCCATGGCGTACACCGCATCGATCACAAACTGGACCTTCCCCTCCTGCTCGTAGTGGGAGTCTTTGCCAATCCTCTCCTGTCCTGCACGTCAAAAACAAACACACACACACATATACACACACACAGAAGGACAGTAAGGAACAGTATTTTCCTGATATCAAAGACAAAGGAATCCTCTCGGAGCACACTTCAAGAACTGTATGTTTTGGTCAATACAATAAAACATTTTGAGTTCTGGTTTTACTAATTAAACCTAAACCAAACCTTCTTTCTTGATAGTAGAATCATCAACGCTTCTTCTTGCAAGTTATTCTACCATAATCCAGAGGAACAAATCCTACCATGATCACAAACTTGAAATTCAAACCTACAGGGACCATCTCAGAGAGAGAAAACACCAGACTCCGTATGCTCCCAAAGCATGCCTTTGAAAGGAGAAAGCATTTAAAGTAAAGCACAGCTGGTGTTTTAACGTCGGATGTTTTGTTCTGCTGCAAATCCCAGTCTCTAATTGAAAGACAGAGCCAGGCTGAGGGAAGAAAGCAGCACTTCAGATGCAACCGAAGGGGCGCTCCGGAGAATTGAGCGAACGTGCCTGCTATTAATGCCACCTCGGGAAGCCCAGTGTGTTTGCATTAACTACGTCCCCCCCTGCTCCCCAACCTGTGGAGACTGAAATGTCCTTCAGAATCTGCTGATTGCCTTTAAAATATTTTAGCAGGCGAGAACTTAAGGAATCCAAATGCTTAATGCCATCCCAACTGCAACGGGGGGAAAGCAGTGCTTTGAAAGTCATTCCTTGATCGCCGCAGCGCCCAGCGTGTTAGAAACTACAAACTCTGCCTCAGAGATGCTCTCATCCGCCTGGCCAAGGCATGAAAAGTCTGAGAGAAGAGAGGCACTCTGCAGGCGGAAAGTGGAATGCAGAAATTAAACCACAGAGAGCCAAAAGAGCTCCACGGCAGTGACAAAAAACCCGAATCTAAATATTTGACGTGGTGGGCTCGTGCCTTAACCGTTCTGCCTCTCAGACCCAAGATGAATATGTAACCCGGTAGCCTGACTGTAAGCCCAGGCAATAACGTGGCCTTCTTGCTTTCGTGATTACAGGAACTGGTAACGGGTGCCTCTGCAATTAAGCAGCAAACCAAACAGTATCGTCAGAGCTTAAAGCAAGGCACAACAGGTTAAGAATCAGGAATCTCTTTTTTTTTTTTTTTTTCACCCCTGAAATTGTCCACTAACTTCTTGTTTTACCTTGGCCCAGTAACACCCGCAGGATTCAATCTGTTCAGCTGCAAAATGTGTGATTATACTTACCTATCTCACCAGGGTTTCATGAAATGTAATTACTGCTTGTGAAGCGTTCTGAGCCGCAGCCATGAAAGCAGCAGAAGTCCAATCTATTATTTTCCAAGGGTGGCAACCCCACATCCCACTTGTTCCACCTGCAGCATCCCACTTCTTCCTAACCTCACATTGGTCTTGATCACCCTCCTGCAGTACCCGCAGGTCTGGGTACTGCCAGGAGCTCCAAGAAACCAGCCCTCGGAGTCATCTCTTGCAAATATTTTTGAGACCTTCAATCAAAGTAAATGCTCGGTCGGAGGATACAGGTGGGGAAAATTCCTTTGTTAACATCCTTAATTAGAAATAGGGATGAGTGAATTTAAATTAGCTAGTTGATACCAATAAGGAAAGGAAATCAAGTTGTTAATGACTGTGAGAACTAATGACTTTTAATAGAGGGAAGAAGCCCATTTTCCTGTTGCTGCTCAGCTAACATGTTCGCCTCCCGCCCTGATGAACAGCAGCTTTACCGGTGCCAGACCCCCTTCTCCAGAGCCAGCCCAGGTCTCCTCCACCCTGGCTTCCCTCGGGGCACCATCTATCAGGCTGAAGCATTTTTGAGCAGCCTATGAGCAAAGGCTTTCACGGGGTTTTTGGCTCGCAAAGGAAAGGCACAGTGGAGCTGCAGTCCCCTCCCGCAAGTCACACTCGGCAAAGAGATCCAGACAGTTTGCAATAAATTCTGCTCATACGTCTCACTCCTTCTCCTACCCTCAAGGTGGCTTCATCGAGAAAGTTTACACAATTCTGGTTGGTGCTGGCAGCTCTTTCTATAAATACATATACGTCACTCTCTCAATAAATTTATATATTACATAAAAATATTTAAATAAGAAAATTATTTTAAAACTATAATTATTACATATATTACAATTAATATATTTATATAAATATGGGATTAATTTATAAATATATATAAAATACATACACACTTTTGTGAACATAAACAGTGTGTATATACACACACGCACTGTATACAGTCCAATGGCTCCCAATCTGACAGTGAGCATGTAGTTTACACCCAATGACTTCCATTGACTTGTTAGAAGTCAACAAGGTCTAGGAAAAGTCCCATTTTCTATGATTTCTGCACTATAGCAGTTTATTTTCTATATTCGATGCATTGAAAGATTAGACACCCAAAAGCGGACCTGAGCTACGTCACCAAATACCCACCAGTCCCAAACAACCCCTTTCTTCTTTGAGTGGAGAGGTGCTGGACCAGAATTACCAGTAAGCACGGAGAGATTACCACCTTCTTACAGAAACTCTACAAGCACAAAGAATGTCTAAATACGCTTGCAAGTGATTTGCTTGAAGATAAGCAAAGAAAAAATCCCCCCATATGAGCATATTTAATTATCTACACTTTTCCCTCTTTTTTGTTTCTCTCCCTAATTACCAAACTGCACCACTGACGTCTGATCCACTCAACCTGCGAATTCTGTTTGAGACACCCTCTGAGAAAGCCCCTCCATTTTAAATCTCAGCTACCCTGGAAACACTGAAATCCTGCAAAAAATTCAGCAGGGCAAGAGAGCTTCCAGACTGTGAGCATCCACATGCTGTCCTTTTCATTATTTCACTGCCCTCGCATTGATTACAGACCTTATTGCATTTCCAGGCCCTGACAAGGAAAATGCTTTTAAGTGGTTTCAGCTCAGCTACATAACCCAATTAGCAATGCAACAGAAATGCACACCGAGGGAAGCGACGCTGGGATTGAAACGCCGCGCACAAACAATACTGGGCCGGCATATTAAGTTCCAGGAGCAGAGCTGGCCAAATGCGGAGCAGAAAGTAAACCTTTAGCAGGCAAGATACCTGTGAAAGGAACCTGAGCAAAATCTACTTAACAAACCAAGAGCAACATTGACAGTGTCCAAGTATGAAAATAATAAAGATTTGAAAAACTCTATTGAGTTTCCAGTGAGCAGAATGCTTTCCTCTGCTGAAAACAGCCGTTTAGTTGAGTATTAAACATCAAGAATTTGTGTGAAGTCTAGATATGGAGTCAAATGTAACTACCCACGCAGAAAACACGCATGAATTTATACAATTAGAACAAGAATGTGCTATCCTTCATACAAACATAGCTTAAGTCACCTTTTAAAGAGACCATTGCAATTAGAAGTGTAGCCCAAATTTAAACCAGCAAAGAACCTGCAAAGCAATTGCTGTATTTTACACATGCCAAATGGTCTTCAGACTTCAACACTAAAAATAAGGTAAGAAAACATCCAAATTAATAGGCCTGACTGAACAGAGTGAACCATCATAGTAACCCAGGGAGCAGCAAATCAGGCCCAAAGTCTAGCTGCAGACAGGGGTCAACCTAAGTGATGGGCACAATTTTAATTCCAGCTTCAACAGTAGTGTGGCAACTATTTTGCCCTCTTAGGTTCAGCTGAAGAAGCCAAACAGAAAGTTTTACCATGTGCTTTAGGAATAGCTCCCGTATGTATGGGTGTATGCAAATTCAGTTATTAATTATACCTGGGAGATAAGGAAAGCCACAGAAGTCATTAGCTTCTTACAGATAAAAGCAGCAAGACAGGCGCTGTGCGCACCTCCTGGCAAAGGGGCAGTTGTGAACCCCCAGCCCAGCCATGTTGGGACACTGTGGGGGTCTCAGGGGAGCTAAGCCCGGTGCCAGACCCCCTTCTCCAGAGCCAGCCCAGGTCTCCTCCACCCTGGCTTCCCTCGGGGCACCATCTATCAGGCTGAAGCATTTTTGAGCAGCCTATGAGCAAAGGCTTTCACGGGGTTTTTGGCTCGCAAAGGAAAGGCACAGTGGAGCTGCAGTCCCCTCCCACAAGTCACACTCGGCAAAGAGATCCAGACAGTTTGCAATAAATTCTGCTCATACGTCTCACTCCTTCTCCTACCCTCAAGGTGGCTTCATCGAGAAAGTTTACACAATTCTGGTTGGTGCTGGCAGCTCTTTCTATAAATACATATACGTCACTCTCTCAATAAATTTATATATTACATAAAAATATTTAAATAAGAAAATTATTTTAAAACTATAATTTTTACATATATTACAATTAATA